TATATTTTGTAATATATAAAAAACGTATTTCAGCATGCAGTATGTGTGTGTATGTGTATATATATATACATACACACACACATACTGCATGCTGAAATGCATTTTTTATATTTTACAAAATATATGAAAAATATTTTTTACAAATATATATTCTTTAAATATATTCTTCTGGTTTTTTTTTTTCCGTTGACTCAAAGATTATATCTCATCATGTTGTTTTTGTTTTACCTCTATCACAGAAATTATTGTATTTTGACAACTCCATGTCTTAATGTAAATATAATTAGTTTTGTTAATTTCGTTTTATTTGCATGCTTTTTTAAAAAAAAATTTCCACTTTTAAATGCAGGCCCAGCAGTCTAGCAAAAATGACAGTGAAAGCCTGGGACCTACTACAATTCTTTAAAAGTTGTAAAATAAAAATAATAATTCTTTATTGTGCTGTTATTGTAGTGAATAGATGTGTTGTTCGCTCTCCCGATCTGCAGCCTCATCCCTTCTCCCCATTGTCTTGTATAGTTATTGTTCCTGATGATTAGTAGTGCAGGTATGTTTATTGCATCCTATAAAACAGTGCGAGAATAAAATTATAAATAGTAATCCGTACCTGCGACTAAAAAGCGTTTACATTTTTCGGTACCGCGTCTAGTAAAATACCGTCCCGCTTTCGGGGTAGTTAGAAAACATTTGACTTTTATCCATGTTATTTGTACTCTTCGGTGTTTCGCCGGTTGTTTAGTACCTGAAGATGTCACTGTTGCCGTTCCCGTTACTAAGATGAATTAGATTGTGTGTAAACATTCTAGCAAAGAAAAAAAAAAATATTCTCTGGAGAAGTCACATCTTAATAAAATAATTTGATTAAAAGAGGCTGCCGGATTTTGAAGTTCGGTGATATTAAAATCTGCAGCTACTGGAGGCACTGTGAGCAGTGCAGCCAACCCAGAGCCTGGGGAGTAAGAGGGCCCCCTTTATAAAAGAGCGTCCACCCATCCATCCATCGACTACGACATGATCAGAGATGGTGTCACTTGGGGGAACGGCAATAGGGGCAATGCCTGCTCAGAATGATGTATTTGACCCCCCCGATCCTCCCTCAAATACTCAGGGGGAACGGCAATAGGGGCAATGCCTGCCCAGAATGATGTATGTATCCCCCCCCCCCCTTCTTCCCTCAAATACTCGCGGGGGGGGGAATGGCAATAGGGGCAATGCCTGCCCAGAATGATGTATTTGACCCCCCCGATCCTCCCACAAATACTCAGGGGGAACGGCAATAGGGGCAATGCCTGCCCAGAATGATGTATGTATCCCCCCCCTTCTTCCCTCAAATACTCGGGGGGAACGGCAATAGGGGCAATGCCTGCACAGAATGTATGTGCCCCCCCCATCCTCCCTCAAATACTTGGGGGGAACGGCAACTGCGGCAATGCCTGCTCAGAATAATGTATGTGACCCCCCCCCCGAATGGCAATAGGGGCAATGCCTGCCCAAAATAAAGTATGTGACCCCCCCCATCCTCCCTCAAATACTTGGGGGGAACGGCAATAGGGGCAATGCCTGCCCAAAATGATGTATGTGACCCCCCCCCGATCCTCCCTCAAATACTTGGGGGGAACAGCAATAGGGGCAATGCCTGCCCAGAATGATGTATGTCACATCCCCATCCTCCCTCAAATACTCAGGGAGAACGACAATAGGGGCAATGCCTGCCCAGAATGATGTATGTGACCCCCCCATCCTCCCTCAAATACTTGGGGGGAACGGCAATAGGGGCAATGCCTGCCCAGAATGATGTATGTGACCCCCCCCATCCTCCCTCAAATACTTGGGGGGAACGGCAATTGGGGCAATGCCTGCCTAGAATGATGTATGTGACCCCCTCCCCATCCTCCCTCAAATACTTGGGGGGAATGGCAATAGGGACAATGCCTGCCCAGAATGATGTATGTGACCCCTCCATCCTCCCTCAAATACTTGAGGGGAATGGCAATTGGGGCAATGCCTGCCCAGAATAAAGTATGCGACCCCCCTCATTCTCCCTCAAATACTTGGGGGAAATAACAATAGGGGCAATGCCTGCCCAGAATGATGTATGTGACCCCCCCCCATCCTCCCTCAAATACTTGGGGGGAACGGCTATTGGGGCAATGCCTGCCCAGAATGATGTGTGTGACCCCCCCCCCTCACCCTCCCTCAAATACTTGGGGGGAACGGCAATTGGGGCAATGCCTGCCCAGAATGATGTATGTGACACCCCCCCATCCTCCCTCAAATACTGGGGGGGAATGGCAATAGGGACAATGCCTGCCCAGAATGATGTATGTGACCCCCCCCCCATCCTCCCTCAAATACTTAGGGGAATGGCAATTGGGGCAATGCCTGCCCAGAATGATGTATGTGACCCCCCATCCTCCCTTAAATACTTGGGGGGAACGGCAATTGGGGCAATGCCTGCCCAGAATGATGTATGTGACCCCCCATCCTCCCTCAAATATTCGGGGAGAACGGCAAATAGGGGCAATGCCTGCCCAGAATGATGTATGTGACCCCCCATCCTCCCTCAAATACTTGGGGGGAACGGCAATTGGGGCAATGCCTGCCCAGAATGATGTATGTGACCCCCCTCATCCTCCCTCAAATACTTGGGGGGAATGGCAATAGGGACAATGCCTGCCCAGAATGATGTATGTGACCCCCCATCCTCCCTCAAATACTTGGGGGGAACGGCAATTGGGGCAATGCCTGCCCAGAATGATGTATGTGACCCCCCTCATCCTCCCGCGCAAATACTTGGGGGGAATGGCAATAGGGACAATGCCTGCCCAGAATGATGTATGTGACCCCCCATCCTCCCTCAAATACTTGGGGGGAACGGCAATTGGGGGCAATGCCTGCCCAGAATGATGTATGTGACCCCCCATCCTCCCTCAAATACTTGGGGGGAACGGCAATTGGGGCAATGCCTACCCAGAATGATGTATGTGACGCCCCCCCCCCCCATTCTCCCTCAAATACTTGGGGAGAACGGCAATTGGGACAATGCCTGCCCAGAATGATGTATGTGACCCCCCCATCCTCCCTCAAATACTTGGGGGGAATGGCAATAGGGGCAATGCCTACCCAGAATGATGTATGTGACTCCCCCATCCTCCCTCAAATACTTGGGGGGAACGGCAATTGGGACAATGCCTGCCCAGAATGATGTATGTGACCCCCCCCCCCATCCTCCCTCAAATACTTGGGGGGAACAGCAGTTGGGGCAATGCCTACCCAGAATGATGTATGTGACCCCCCCATCCACCCTCAAATACTTGGGGGGAATGTCAATTGGGGCAATGCCTGCCCAGAATGATGTATTTAACCCCCCATCCTCCCTCAAATACTTGGGGGGAACGTCAATAGGGGCAATGCCTGCCCAGAATGATGTATGTGACCCCCCCCATCCTCCCTCATATATCATGTGCTATTATTTTCGGGTGCCCACCCATACCATTAAATGTAAGCTCATACTAAATATTATTTACTTTGCTCATGGACTGTGTATTAGAAACTGTTTTTTTTTTTAATCCCTCGCCTACCGGGACCTTTTACCCCCTTCCTGCCCAGGCCAATTTTCAGCTTTCAGCGCTGTCGCACTTTCAGACAGTTGCGCAGTCATGCAACACTGTACCCAAACAAAATGTTTATCATTTTTTTGAGACAGATAGAGCTTTCGTTTGGTGGTATTTAATCACCACTGGGTTTTAATTTTTTGCTAAACAAACTAAAATAGACCTAAAACTTTGAGAATTTTTTTTTTTTTTATAGTTTCTGTTATAAAATTTAGTAAAATAAGTGATTTTTTCTCCTTTTCGTCGATGTGCGCTAATGAGGTTGCACTGATGGGCACTGACAGGCGACGCTGATGAGGAGGCACTGATAATTGGCATTGATGGGCATTGACAGGCATCACTTGTGGGCACTGAAAGGCAGCACTCATATATGGCACTGATAGGTGGCACTGATGGGCACTGATACGTGGCACTGACTGGCACTGATAGGTGGCACTGATTGGAATTGTTAGGCAGCACTGACGGGCACTTATAAGTGGCACTGACTGGCACCGATAGGTGGCACTGATAGGTGACACTGACTGGCACTGATAGGCGGCACTGATAGGCGGCACTGACTGGCACTGATAGGCGGCACTGAAAGGCAGCTCTGATGGGTACTTATATGTGGTATTGCTGTGCACTGGTAGACACTGATATGTGAGATTTATGTGCACTGATGGACACTGGTATGTGGCATTGATGGGCACTGACAGGTGGCACTGATGGGGTTACACTGATCATTAGGGCACTGATCATCAGCCCTGATGATCAGTGTACATGTCGCCTCTGAGGAATGCCGATTACTGGCTCTCCTCTCCTCCTGCACTGTCAGAGTGAGGAGAGGACTGCTAATAACCGGCATTTCCGATTTACATCTGATTGGACACAGCTGATCACATGACAGAGCCGACGTCATTGGCTCTTTACTCTGAGCAGTGATCTCAGGGACACAGCGCACCACCCATCACCGCGCCGCGCTCCCCCATGGGTGCACATACACATTTAGAGTGGGAGGACCTCTTTTGACATTCTCCCAGAATGAGAGAACTGCCGCCTGCCCCTCATTTCCTTATATGGGAGGTGGGAGGCGGTTAAATAAAATATTTGTTTTCTCCATTTTCACCTTTTTTCATTCTTTGTTGAATCTCAGTGCTGTTGATCTTAGTGGTTCATATAGTGAACTCGGTGTAGAGTTATTCCCCCTGAGGTCATCACAGAGGACAAGGGGGCGCTCTTTACATCTGGAAGAAAATAGATTTAATCTCCAAACATGGAAAGGTTTCTTCACAGTAAGAGCTGTGAAAATGTGGAATAGACTCCCTCAAGAGTTGGTTGTGGCCAGCTCAGTGGATTGCTGTAGGAAAGTCCTGGATTCTTCTTGGATACACAGAATATACAGTAACTGGATATAACATTTATAGGAAAAGTTGATCCAGGGAATATCCGATTGCCTCTCGGGGGATCAGGAAGGAATTTTTACCCCTGCAGGAGCAAATTGGATCATGCTTTGCTGGGTTTTTTTGCCTTCCTCTGGATCAACTGTGGCCAGGGTCGGACTGACCATTTGGAAACTCGGACACTGCCCGAGGGCCTGGGTCAGTAGGGGGCCCTATGAGATGCCCCTGGTACATTTTTCATAGGCTTTTTTGAGTTTGGGCAAGGACACAGGGGCCCCACGATCCCCTATTGCCCGGGGGCCCCATGAGTTGTCAGTCCACCCCTGACTGTGGGTATAGGATTATAACATTTCTTTTTTTAATGGTTGAACTGGATGGACTTTTGTCTTTTTTTCAGCCAGACTAACTATGTAACCATTTAACTATGATCACCTGCAGCCTCCTTGCAGCCACTTTTACAGTCAACATGCACTCTGATGGCTCCAAGGCATTTCTCAGGACGGGTTTCCTGTAACAATAGTGGACCATGCCACTGGAAAAGTGGGTTGAAACAGCCCACCAGAATCCTATGTGACAGGGTGACAACACAGAAAAATAGTTGGGTGAAAGGGACAGAGTCAAAAAAATAACAATAAACATTTTATATAAAAGTTACATGATATCAATGTACCCAGGGGTGGACTGACCATTTGAGCACTTGGGCACTGCCCGAGGGCCCGGGGTCAGTAGGGGGCCCCATGAGATGCCCCTGGTACCTTTCATTGTCGTTTTCATAGGCTTTTTTGGGTGTGGGTGAGGACACAGGGGCCCCATGATCCCCTATTGCCTGGGGGCCCCATGAGTTGTCAGTCCGCCCCTGAATGTAACTATATCAATTATAAATATTCATCAGTTGCACTAATCTCCATGTTTCATGTGGCTCTAGTACCCCTGAGGACCACCTCTATTAGATATGTAAACTTTACACATATGTCCCAGTGAGTAATATTCATCCCAGGGGCGGACTGACCATTTGGAAACTCGGGCACTGCCCAAGGACCCGGGGTCAATAGGGGGCCCCATGAGATGCCCCTGGTACCTTTTTCATAGGCTTTTTTGAGTTTGGGCAAGGACACAGGGGCCCCATGATCCCCTATTGCCCGGGGGCCCCATGAGTTGTCAGTCCACCCCTGATTCATCCTTAATTTGATACAATTTATTACTTAATATACTTACATCATTATACTGAATATAATTACATATATAGGATGTATGTACAATAATCGCATTGTGTTGCTTTGCAGTCTGAAATGAAGACACACACAGGTTTTGTTTTATCCAGTTGTTGCTCAGTGCAACCTATAACATTTAAGTGAAAGATATAACACCAACACGTCAGAAATAGATTTTAAAAAATTACAATCATTGAGTTGGAAAAAGGATTGCCCCCTTGTTTCAGTGTTTTGTTGCTTTAACCGCTTCCATACCGGGCACTTTTACCCCCTTCCAGCCCAGGCCAATTTTCAGGTTTCAGCGCTCTCACACTTTGAATGACAATTGCGCGATCATACAACATTGTACCCAAACTAAAATTTTATCATTTTCTTCATACAACTAGAGCTTTCTTTTGGTGGTATTTAATAACCGCTGGGGTTTTAATTTTTTGCTAAATTAACAAAAAAAGACAGAAAATTTTGAAAAAAAAAACAAACACGTTTTTCTTTGTTTCTGTTATAAAAGTTTGCAAATAAATAATTGTTCTTCATAAATTTAGGCCAAGATGTATTCTGCTACATGTCTTCGGTGAAAATAATCCAAATTAGGATGTATTATTTAGTCTGTAGGAAAGTTATAGAGTTCACAAACTATGGTATAGATCTGAATATTGATCAATCCTGAAGTACTGACGGCCAATCTAATTTCTTGAGGTCCAAGAAGGTCAGAAGGTCAGAACAGTACAGATATCCCCCAAATGTCAGAACAGTACAGATATCCCCCAAATGTCAGAACAGTGCAGATATCCCCCAAATGTCAGAACAGTGCAGATATCCCCCAAATGTCAGAACAGTACAGATACCCCCCCAAATGTCAGGACAGTACAGATACCCCCCCAAATGTCAGGACAGTACAGATATACCCCCAAATGTCAGAACAGTACAGATATCTCCCAAATGTCAGGACAGTACAGATATCCCCCAAATGTCAGAACAGTACAGATATCCCCCAAATGTCAGGACAGTACAGATATCCCCCAAATGTCAGGACAGTACAGATATCCCCCAAATGTCAGGACAGTACAGATATCCTCCAAATGTCAGGACAGTACAGATATCCCCCAAATTTCAGAACAGTACAGATATCCCCCAAATGTCAGGACAGTACAGATATCCCGCAAATTTCAGAACAGTACAGATATCCCCCAAATGTCAGGACAGTTCAGATATCCCCCAAATGTCGGGACAGTACAGATATCACCCAAATGTTAGGACAGTACAGATATCCCCCAAATGTACAGATAGATATCCCCAAATGTCAGGACAGTACAGATATCCCCCAAATGTCAGGACAGTACAGATATCCCCCAAATGTCAGGACAGATATCCCCCAAATGTCAGGACAGTACAGATATCCCCCAAATGTCAGAACAGAACAGTACAGAGATATCCCCCAAATGTCAGAACAGTACAGATATCCCCCAAATGTCAGAACAGTACAGATATCCCCCAAATGTCAGGACAGTACAGATATCCCCCAAATAACTCCTTTTTGCAAAGTGGACAGTCCAACATATTTCATAAGACTCATGGCGAGTTTTTTGAAGTTGTAATTTTTTGTCATAATTTTTCGGAAAATGAAGAAATTAAAAAAATGATTTTCACTATTTTTTTTTTACATACTGTCACGAGTGCAGTACAGTATCATCTTGTAACTGGCATGGCGGTGATCAGGGACACTGACTGGTGACAGCACGAAAAAAAAAAAGTATATTTTTTTTATTTTTTTATTATTTTTTTTTTTTATAAAATTGTTTTCTATTTTTTTAAGATTTGTTTTTCATATTTCACTATGACCAAAGTAGTATAATGTTACCATAGTAACATTGTACTACTTTGGGGAAGTGATCAGTATTTTTTTTTTTACACAATTTGCTTATAGGAAAACATTGCTTTGCTATAAGCAAGCATTTATCTGAATGAAATCGATTCATTCAGGGTTTTTTTTTTGTGCTTAGCTGTGATTTGGCCATGGCTAATCACATGACACAGCTGGGCTGTGATTGGCCCAGCTTGTACATGTGATCGCTGTGACCATTCACAGCTAGACACACTTGTATACAATGGATGGCATGAAAAGAAGCCATCCATTGTATACAACTGTCATGTGACCTGCTGTGATTGGTCACAGCAGGTCACATGGTACTGGCAACAGGGTCGGTATACAGACCTGTCATCGGCCGTGTCCGATATTTTTAAAATATATTCATCAGATTTTTTTTAATATAAAAAATGCATTTTAACATGCAATGTATATATATCTATATTATATCTATATATATATAATTTCAAAATATATTGAATACCGCCACAAAAATATATAGTATATTTGAAATGTATTTTTAAAAATATTTTTCATATATGTTGTAATAAAAATGCACTTTAACATACAGTGTGTGTATGTGTATATATATATATATATATTATTATTTATTTTTTTAAAATATATTGAATATGGCCAAAATTTTTTGCATTTCAAATATATGTCAATATATTTGGGAAGAAAAATTTTTAAATATATTTTTCTTCCATATGGGTATAGTGAGTAAGAGTTGTCATCCTAGAATTAGAAGTGTGTTACTGGGAGGAACACCAAGTAAAAACAAAGCTTGGAAAAAAGAAAACTAATGCAGGGACCACGTGTAAGGATTGGTAAGCTGTAACATATTACATTTTTGTTCTTGAATTTAGGAACACTTTAATTTTTGCAGTACTTCAAATGCAATATATATAATACAATATACATGTGTATTTTGCTAATTTACAAATATTACTTAGATTGTAAGCTCCCAGGATCAGGGCCTCCTATCCCTCTTGTATTGAACTGTATTGTTGCTGTATTGTCTCCCATTATATTGTAAAGAGCTGAGCAAACTGTTGGCGCCATATAAATCCTGTATAATAATAATAATTTTCTTTCAGTGCAATGCACTGCAAACAAAAACAACAACAAAGGAATGAGGCTAGATAGAGAACACGACACAAAGCCAACACAATGCAATAAAAAAAGACAACTATGTAAGCTTTCAATTTAAAATTCAACTACTGTGCTAGGGACTCTTTCAGCATGTTCTCTCAATGCATTGTAATGTGGATCCTGAATGTCCATGTATACAAACCCGTATATCTCCATGGATGTTAGAGAAAGTAGATGAATGAGAGCTGCACTCCAATCTCTGCTTTGTCCAGATATTTTATTCAAACATTCACAAAGTAGTAACATGGGGGCACATGCTCCAGATTCTCAGCTGTAGGAGAGAAGATAAAGCTGCTTTCTCTCCTCTCCTTCAGGCTAGAGGGCTTTTGATTGGTCAGCACCTTCACATGGACAGGGCTGACCAATCAGAAGTTGTCTAGTCCATACCTTCACCCCTGCAAGGAGAGGAGAGAAAGCCGTGAGGATTTCAAATCCCTAGATAGGTGAAGCAGCTTTCTCTCCCCTCCTTGCAGGAATGACAGTACGGACTAGATGACTCCTGATTGGTCAGCACTGTCCATGTGATGGTGCTGACCAACCAAAGCTTTCTAGCTCGATATCACGTACCTGGTGATGGAGGGCAATGGAGAGAGGGCTTCCTTGTGGCTAGGTTCCAGACTCCCCTGAGAGTGGGACAGCGGGAATCATGCCCAAAGTGGCACAGGTCGCCTGTAGGAGTGCTGGTTGGTAGTCCACCCAGGAGCACAGCTGGTGCACAGAGATAGGTCCACAGACAGATGGCACTTGTGCGTGGTATGTAAGCCCTTCCAGGATAGAGGATTACTGGATAGCCGGTTCAAGCCAAGGTCAGGTACCAGGTGGGAATCAGAGCAGACGTAGTCAGATGGGATAGCCGAGGTCATACAAAGAGGAGCGAGAGAAAGAGAGAGTATTTGTTGGCCAAGCCAAGGTCAGATCAGGGATTAAGCAGAGTAGAAAGGTTCAAGAGCAAGCCGAGTCGGTATCAGGAAGTCACAGGTCAGAATAAGACAGGAAACAGGAACCAGGAACAAGGTACGGGGAGCTAGAGATCATCCAGCAACTTGAGGAAGTGCAGAGCCTCCTTACAAAGTTCATTTGGCGCCAAAACTGGGCCTGATGAGTGTGCAACTATGCGCCAGTGCCCATGCGCAGGGACGGCTCACATCCGTGCGCCAATGCCCATGGATTTTTGCCACCGTGTATTTCCATGGCCATGTAGGGTACTGGCGGAAATGGCTGGTCTTCCAGGACTTCTGTCGTGGACAGGACCCTGACACTCGAACTGTCATCCCTACAAGGAGAGGAGAGAAAGCCATAGGGATTTCAAATCTCCGTCTTTCTCTCCTCTCCTACAGCTGGGAATCTTGAGCATCTGCCAGCAGGTATAAATCCCCACACGCCCTTCTCTCCCGATCTCCACTGCAGGAGACCTCCCTGCAACATTCCTGTGTGAACTCAGGCTATGGCAAGCCTGGGTTTACAGAGGAGAAATGCGGAAAACGCATGTGATTTGGACAGGAAACGCATTCTTGCCATGTTATTCTTTGTGGTGCAATTTGCGTCCACAGTGTATGGGCACAAATCACACCACAAAGTATCAGTACTTGGTACCAGTGAGTACTTGACCGAAAGTCAATGCCCTGTCAGTCCATAGACAAGGCAGAGGATTAGGTCTGGAATGGTGCTCTGGGTTTAGGTTGTTTCAAATTCAATAGATGCTGTTTGTCATCTACCCTTTTCACACTGTTACTGCAATGCACCCATTGTCTCTATGCCAGCATGGTCCAGGTTCCTTTTGCAGCAATGCAGCCAATTATGTCATGGGTGTTTTTCTCTTCAACAGACTGCACCTATTTTTTTGCTTCCAAGACCTTTCCTGTGTGGTTGTTTTCAGCCTGTTTTTTTTTTTGGATTGACTTCTCATGTACTGACGTGTTCAGAT